TCCAGGTTGAATTTTCTACGCTCACTCACCTTTAGGCTGGAGCTCGTTCGCTACGCTCACTTGCCTTCAGGTTAGCTCGTTCGCTACGCTAACTCGCCTCCAAGTTGAAGTTCGTTTACTACGCTCACTCATCCAAGGATTTTAGATTTTTTGTTGAATATGGGGTACTTGGCTACGAGAAATCGATTGGAGTTGGTCACAATGCTGGGGAAAATCCTGTTTCTGTCCTACAGCTCTTGAAAGTGCCCATGTTATCGGCAACACCTTTTTGTAGCGGCAGTTAATAAAAACAGCTGTTACAGGCTATTTTGATTGTCATAATTTATTTGATTTGACATGTAAACAAAAATAACTGTATTTGCTAGTTTGGACTAAACATTTGAAAGAATAGTTGTATTTATTTATTTTATTAGTTACATAATATTAGTGTTAAATGTTTTCAAGATTTAAAATTAAACACATACGAAGCGAAAATAAATAATACAGAATCTGCAAGGGAAAGAAGCTACGACAATCGATCATCAAGAAACTAACTTTGATCATCAAGAAACTAACTTTACCACTTCGTCTACAACCGAACCAGACCCAACCAGCTAATACATCCCACCAAATGTCTCAGAATCTCGGCCCAGGTCACACATCGAAGAATGAAAGTAGTGAAATAATTTCACATCTTATGGCCAAGCAATATGAAGAACATACAAACGAGCTGATCGTTTTGAGTAGGAGAGTCGACCAATCGCTACTCGTCGTTTGGAAGAACGTCAGCGCAGTAAAGTCTGAAATTCCTCAAATATATAAAGTTGCCATGTCTGTGGATGAGAGATATTATCGAAGAATAAGCAATAACTTATGCACCCACGTTGCAAGCGGACAATATTCAAAAATTTGAAATACCGTACTATCCTTGCTACACCTGGAAGGATAAAAATAAAAAACTAAATTATTCGAATGCTACTGGGAAATGAAAAGGTTTGCAAAAGTTTCAATCCAATAATTAGTTATTTGTCCGGTCCACCGGTACTCTATAGGCTATTTAAAATGGATACAATTATCATCACATCACTCACTTAACACAACACAAAGCACAAAGATTCACTAATGTAATAAATTATGGGTAAATGAGAAGTATTTGTGGGGAAATGTGTGGTTGAAATGTTACGGGCTTTTTCAGTGACAATGTAATGCTTGAGACCAAGCGATTAAGTCAATTGACCGACTACTTGCCAAACAAAGGGTCTTGCATCTAAAATTCAGATGGGACCTTTATTTTTTTATCTCTATATAAACGTCGACAATTATTCTTGTTCAGAAATATATTAACTATAATTATTTGTACAATTTATTGTCATAATACAGTGAATTTTACATACAGCTTTGAATAACTTATTATTCTTTTTCAACCGATATAAAACAGTTTAGTGAGTCTGTGGCTCACTGTGTAGCGTTCGGGCCCAAGGCAAATATGGGAAACAAAAAACGTTGAAACCTGAACAGCCAACAATATAAGACAAAAATACAGAAAATGCGATGACATGATTTGAGACCAAGTAGGCCTCCTTAATGATAGGTACAAACTTTAATGCAAACAACAAAGCTTGTGGTTTTTGTGTATTGAAAGTACAATATACACAAAAAAGGTTTTAACTTACAAAATAAGACTTTATATAAGTTCAAGTTTAATATTAAACCATAAACAGTTTTATGGCAGATTTAGGCAATGGCCAGTGGCAAATTGAAGGTTCAAGATTAAATTATGAGTAAGAAGTGAAATATAACAGCCATAATAAAACTATTATTTTTATGATAAAATAGGTTTGGGATCTCATAATAATTACCCTAGTAATGAAGTTGTAAAGGAATAAAAGTGATACAACTTTAATGAGCTAAGCTGCTAGTTATTGGAAGTACTTGCTGGAAATGATTATCGTCCTGATAAAATATTAATGGGATTTGAGAGTACTAATGGGGTTTTTATTGCATAATACCCCTAGTAATAAATTATGGAAATGTAAACAAACATGTCCATTACAAATTTAAGGACATAGTCTGGCATTTAAGGACAATTCCCGTACATTTCATGGCCAGCCCAAAATTAAGTACAATTCCCGGTTGGAAGACACCCTTCCCCTGTAAAATCATAAATATTTCCATGGAAATACAAGTGTATACATTGTGTATATCTTGGATTTTATGTTATAATAACTATTCACACACTTTTAACATAAAAGTTCAGGACCCTTTTTTATTTGAATTTATGTGAAAGATGTATTGCAAAATTTAGTTTTTCAACTGTGTAGCAAAAATATCCCATTTGACCACAAAATGAGTATACAGGGTGAATTTTAAATGAGTTCCCCCCCTACTTTTTTCTACATTTCTTAAGATATCATCTCCGGACCACGTCAGATCATTGTTGAGTAGTAAGTACTTCATTTTGACTGGGTATACATTTTTGGCCGCCATCTTGGATCCGCCATATTGGATACAAAGTTTTTTTTCAAATGTAAAGGTAGGGTTGTGACCCATTATTTCCAACTAGAATTGTACGTTGATTACAATGCCGCAATTAGTTTAAAAAAAATCTTGATCCGTTCTTAAGTTATGAGGACTTTTTATAACTTTATTTTTAGCGCATTTTAACATTGTGCATTTATCAGTCAAAAAGTCAAAAGTCAAAACATTCTTTATTCATTATAGTTTCACATTACATGAACTTGAATAGAGTCATGAGCTAAATTCAAAATTGCTTACTGCTAATTAAATACGTAAAAAGAGTACTAAAATTACTTTACTTTAACTTTTAACAAAATCATGACTTTAAGGATTACAGTATTTGGTATTCAAATTAAGTTAGGCCTAACTGTTTTTTACTAATACTAAAGAATTCTGTTACTGAGTAGCAGGGAGTTCTTAAAAAATATTCCTTTAAGAGCTGCTTGAATTTATTAAATTTGGTTTCTTTTCGGATGTGAGCTGGTATAGACTGGAGAAATTTTAGCCCTATGTAAGATGTCTTTTTAGTGTAAAATTCAAGATTATGCCGAGGTAGGTTAATTTTTAATCTGGTGTTATATACTAATTGTTCTGTTGAGCTGGATGATAGTTGGATCTGTTTTGCATAAATTATTGTTTCATAAATATAAAGACTATAAACTGTTAATATTTGTAATTCACGAAAGATGCTCTTGACTGGCTCTTTCTTTTTAAGATTTTTCATCACCCTGATAGCTTTTTTCTGCTTAATTAGTACTTTATCTAAATTAGTTTTTGTTGTTGCCCCGTATAGAACAATTCCATATGAAATATGTGAATGAATTAATGAGAAATAAACAACTCTTAGAGTGTCTAAACTGCATACTCTGAACATCTGTCGCAGAGCATGGATACCGGAAGATACCTTTTTAACCACATAATTCACATGGCCCTCCCAAGATAGATGTTTATCGATAATTAGACCAAGAAATTTTGTTTGCTTTACTTGGTTTATTCTTTCTGATTTTATGCAAATGTTTGGTTCAAAATTTTGTCTACGTTGTTTAGTGGAAAATGATATAAAATTGGATTTTTCTGTGTTAATAAGCAGATTTTTTCGGTCATTTACAAACTAAGACTATAATCTCAAAATAGTGCTAGATAAAGAAAGTATACACCACTATTCATTGTCGACTTATTTTCACTTGGTTATGACGGGTGTAGTTTTTTCAGCCGCCATCTTGAATCCGCCATTTTGAAATGGGATCAATTAATTTAAATATGAAGGTGGTGTTGTGACCCATCATTTTGATCTATTTTTTTATGCTGAACTCAATGCCGCAATCCGTTTTTCATTTGCATCTTTGGATTTTGAAATATTGAAATTTTAAATAAGAGTATTTTAATATTTCATCAAGAAAGCTTGATAACCAAAAACGGATTACGGCATTGAGTCCAGTATAAAAAAGTAGTTCAAAATGATGGGTCACAACACCACCTTCATATTTAAATAAATTGATCACATTTCAAAATGGCGGCTCCAAGATGGCGGCTGAAAAAACTACATCCGTCATAACCAAGTGAAAATATGTCGACAATGAATGGTGGTGTATACTTATCTTTATCCAGCACTATTTTGAGATTATGGTCTTAGTTTGTTAATGCACAATGTTAAAAAGGGCTAAAAATAAAGTTATAAAAATTCCTCATAACTTTAGAACGGATCAAGATTTTTAAAAACTAATTGCGGCATTGCAATCAGCGTAAAATTCTAGTTTGAAATAATGGGTCACAACCCTACCTTTACATTTGAAAAAAAAACTTTGTATCCAATATGGCGGATCCAAGATGGCGGCCAAAAATGTATACCCAGTCAAAATGAAGTACTTACTACTCAACAATGATCTGACGTGGTCCGGAGATGATATCTTAATAAATGTAGAAAAAAGTAGGGGGGAACTCATTTAAAATTCACCCTGTATATACGACTAGGTTATCATATAAGAAATTTTTACACTACTAATTTTATAAAAACCCCTGCAAAGTCGCAAAAATGACAGGGACATTCATCCAACCCGTCTTAGGGCCAACAAATTCCAGCAACAATACTACAACACCACAAAAAATACCAGCAACAAACATGATTGTCAGTTTACTGAAGATAATGGTTATCACCCAAAGCTTTAGCTTAGCTATACATTTTGATAAGCTGGTTGTGTTGAAAGTTAAAATAGAAACAACTTATTCGGGACACACTTAAATTAATATAATTATTATAATTACTTTATTCAATTCAAGGTTTGGATATACATATTTAAACCCAGACATAGCACTTTAATGAAATTCAAAGTGGAAAATAATGTACACTAACTAATTAAATGTTGTCTTTATTAAATAGTCGAAGTACAAAAACATTGTTTAATCGATCTCTAAAAAGTAAAAAATAGGAATAAAAGGAGGCAGTCCTGCGTTTGTGATTTTTTACCTTTGTACAGGAATTATAATGATAAACAATGTAGAGCGAGTAAAGTTTAAAATTAAAATTTTATTTCTTATAAATACAAAAATAAATATGGTTGTACTTTGTTTGCATGATTGAAATAAAAATCAAAGACCATCAGCAATAATAAACTACAATCACTATAACATTTTAAATAACTTAAGTTTAAAAAAAGTAAACCATCATTCAGCACCCAAACGAGCTTAAAGTTATAAAATCATTATAATTAAAAGAAAAATACACATTCCTTCAGCCTTAAATTATCCACAATACTTAACATAAATGTTACTGCTCTTTTGAGAACCTTTCCTTTCACTTCCGTAACGGATCCAACCCAGCACGCCACTTCCGTCTTCTCCCTGCCTCATCCTAGGTCTCATCGAGCACAAAACACAAAACCTTTCCTGGAATAATCTCTTTGTCACTTGTAGTAAAATTGTATCCAGCCATAGTCTATCACATCACATTCATAGTATATCTTTCTTCATGTTTATTTGGCTGGGAACAAACAAGAAAATAAATTAGAATATAATACCTACATAAGGAACAGACATACAAAATGTGACAAAAACCAGGACTGGGTTCGACAATGCTATGTATTACAGAACTACGGTTTCTGAACAACGTTCTGTGTATTGTTTTTTAGTAAAAAGGAAATGGGTTACACAGTGGATATTTTCTAATTTTTTGATATCATTTAAGTTAAAAAATTATGTAGGATTAACAAACAAGTAAAACTTTTTATATGAAATCCCCTACGTAGGTCAAGAAATTACAGCTTTAATAAAATAAAGCTGTAGGAATAATTCTAAAATGTTGAGTTTCCCTTATGGATGCAATAGAGGCTAATAAATAGGGGCCTACCTCTTGTAGCTTAACTTTGGAACTTCAAGACTAAGGACGGGTCCCTGAAGTATGAAACTGGTCCAGAATAGCTAAGAGCTATTTTAGCATATTACATAACACACAAAACATTATGGCATCCATTTAGATACATTTGTTATACTAAACATTAACACAGACTTGTTATCTCCATACAAAAACCACAAACTAAGAGAAAGAGTCAAGATTAATTTGAATGATCGACGCGTGCACATAATATTTCAAATTTTTAATCTCTAAAAATATAGCGTATAAATTGGCAGATCATTCGATTTAATTAACTGAAGTCTTTTCAGTACTGGTACCCTCATTTGTTTTGTTTTTCAAAGTGAATGTGTATTTTTTTATTTGATTTAATGTTGGTTTATTCTTTATATGCAAGTGTGTTGTTTCTAAATATGAGTGAAAATGAAGGATACACTCTTTGTATGAACATTCATTGTGAAAAACTAGGGATGGTCAAGTCTCGAAATTTCGGGAAATTTTCGGGAAATTTTAAATCTCGTTACACGAGACAAGATTTTTTTTGGCCGAGATTTTTATCGAGACGAGAATAAAAAAAAAAAATAAATAAAAAAAATTATAAACGCCTGCAGAAAGTCAATGCAATGCAATACAGGAGCGTGTTGTAGTTGCGTTTCCTTTGTGAAGGCGTTCTTATTTAATTAATTCTTCAAATGTAAATATTACTTTAATTATTTTAATAACATTTCAGAAGTTTTGTTAAGTGTTAGCAATGTGAGGAATGTTTTATTACTATAAAAAAAATCAAAACAAGTAACTATTTTATAAAAATTAATATTTTATTTTATGATTTATTTTATTTTAGGATAAGGTCTAATCTTCAGTTCTATCCTAACTGATATCACTATGTTTCCTCATCGTAGGCATTTTTAATAATTTAGGCGTGATTAATAAAAAAATGTTATGCTGATGTTTTTTAATAGAAGATTGTAAATATTCTTGCCTATTATCATTATTTTTCTTTTTATGTTTTTAGGAAAAAGCATTTAGCTTGGATTAAATAAATATATAGGATGGAGAGGACACAGCTAACTCACCTGATGAAAGATTGCAGACGAGTCAAAGAACACATAATCATATGTGTTCTTTGACTCGTCTGCAACCTTTCATCAGGTGAGTTAGCTGTGTCCTCTCCATCCTATATATTTATTTTTCTATTTAAACAGTCATCTAACAATGTTACAAAATCAGGTAAAAATTCCGAACGTGCATTTCCCGTTGTGTATGAGAAGGGAAATCCCGTCTCGATCTCGTCTCGAAATTTTATGAGAAATAAAAAATCTCGTCTCGAACTCAAAATCCAATCTCGTCCATCCCTATGAAAAACATTACCAACACATCTCTTTTCTTCTTACAACATTTTGAACCATCTTTATTATTGAGAAATTGTCAACCTTTTTCTTATTTTAATTTGAGAACAAAATGTGATATTGTGGCAGAACCGAATCTGAAAAAGGTTTATTCAGTTAATTTATTATTGAATTGTGTTTAAATGACAAGATGGGATTACAATTATTAATAACTGACCAAACTACATGAAGGAGTTGATGACACAGGTAAATAGTCGAATATGAGCAAGTTAGTGACACTAAAAATACAGGAGGTGTAGTGACATGACATAAGCATCTATCTCGATATGGATTATTCTGATCACACCTTCTAAGGCAATAAAACACCCAACACACACATCTCACTTTTTGCTACTGAATGTTATCTATAAAGGATAAGTTTAAAAAGTTAATTTCAAGGTTTCTTCCAGGATTTAAGTTTTTTCAGGTTCCTGCGTTAATGTTTAGCTATAACTACAACCAATTCAAGGCCTTATTTAAGTTTGTTCTCATATAAAATTTGTATATATCTGATTACTTCCAAGTTCAGTGAGCTTTTGTTGCAAAAATAATAATCCTTAATATCATGATCATTTTTAACATCATTATTTTTCCTAGGGTCACAAAAGCATCATCTCATGCAATAGCGGCAAAATCCTAATATCTCCATCGTTCACGGAAACATTATTATACCCGCAGCATAGTCCTGAATCTCCTCTACCAAGGTTATCATTTTCATCCGCGATTGCAGTAAAATCCTGAATATCTCCCATGGTTGTGAGGTCATCATCAGTCTCCCAAGGTCAGAGGAACATTATCATCGTCACTTGCCATCACGGCTAAATATCTCCCACGGTTTATATACATTAACATTATTGTTGCCTCCGGCGGTCATGGAACCATTATTTTAGTCCTCCGCGATCACGGCAAAATCCTGAATATCTCATTTGTATACATTATCGTTGCCAACCGCGGTCATGGAAACTTCATCATAGTCTTCCCCGAATGGCTGTTTAATTCACCATTGTTATGCCAAGTCACATGGTGAAAAGGTGTTTCATACTGACCTTAAATTTGTTTACTTCTTTACATTGAAAGAGACACACAAAGCTGTGTATTTTTACATATGTGAATGAAAGATGAGTGTGGAATGCAATGAGATATCTTTTGAAGCTTTTTACTAAGGCCTATTAAAACTAGCTGTTTCTTAAAAAGGATATGTTTAGAAAGGACTACTTATTAAAAGTCCAATGATCAAGGACAGCTGGGTCCAGTTTCAAAAGCTAATGGCTTTTCGCCGTATCAAACCGTCTAAAATTCTGACTACTTTGAATTTTGTCACATTACATAAAATTAAATAATGTGCTATATTAACTTTTGTATCATTTGGTATGTTTACTGCATACCCAAGACAGCAAGAGGTGACATTTACAAGAATGAACATGTACACATGATTAAAAATTAAAGTCAGTGGAAGTACTAGAAGCCTGGCTTTATTCATAGCCACCTTCTTAGGCATCATGACTACTTCCAAACTTTATCTACTGATATTGTTATCCCAAAATCTTGATCTAGCTAGCCACACAATTTTTAAACAAAAATGTTGTTTTAGGGTTATTTTACTAGGGAGAAATACCAAACCCTAAGAGTTAGTATTAAGGCATACCTGCACAGTTTTTAACTGCAGCCTAATCCCATCTTCTTCGGTAAAAATTATGTCAAGTAAATTAAGATGCAACGGTAATACTAGTGGGTGTTGATTTCACTGGAGCTGTAAAATAATTGTGCTACTTACAAATTGTATAAAATTAATGTAAAGGGTTTTGACTAATTATTACATAAAGTACCATTTTTGCTTGAGTTAAGATACTCAACAACTTTAGATAATCATTTAGCTATAATTTTAGTCTAAATGAATTTAGATGTATATAGCATACAACAGATACAATTTTTCTAATGAAAATGTAAGCTTTTAAGTTGGTATTTGAATACAAGGGCTAACACCTATAATTTCAGTGGAACGTCCTAGTTAAAATTTAACAACAGTGTTGTGTTCTTACCACCTCACTGCAGCACTTTGTCTTGTCCTAGTAATCAATAATGTTGCAAGAGATAGTTCAATGGTAAATTGCATTTTGTGCCAACATTTCTCTTGTTTAAACAGGGGAAGTAAACATTAAAGAAATCCATTACTAGTTCACAGATGTGCATTGATCAGTGTACCTTAAAAGGCTTTGTGCTATTGTTTGATACTTCAAGTAGGCCTAATGCTTCTGTGCAGTTCCTACATCTAATCAGGGACACAACAAAAATATGAATGAGTTATGAATGAAGCGTGAGATTGTGTGATTGTAGGTATAAATAGACATTCCATTCCTGGCTTAAAGTTGTCAGTTTTAGAATAAAAGAGAGTTCCGTTGAGCCACCCACAGAAAGTTTTTATCTTAATTACAGATTTTTGTTCAAAACAACGCAATGTTTAATCGAAGCCAAAATGAAAGGACAACTTATTGTTAACTATTGCTCCTTTTATATCACATCAACCATCACAGTATCAAAAATTAAGGAATAAAATATAATATTGATTGTAGTATACTCAATGAGTGGCTCATTCAACAACCTTTTCTCTTTTATTCTCAATTGAATACAGCTGGTCCATTATAGACGGGATGTCTACTTAATTTTCCAATGCTAAAAGTAATCATGCAGTTTAGATTCATCTATCAGTCGTCTTGACAGGTTTTTACCTTGGGGTGGCTGATGCAGAGGCCTGGGCTGGCCTGTGTTGTTCATAGGGTTACGACCTCCTCGCTGGTTGTTGTAGCCTCGGTTGTTGTACACTCGGTAACCTCCACGGCCACCGTAGTACCCGCCTCGGCCTCGGTAGCCTCCTCGTCGTGCCAAAGCCACTCCGAATGTTTCAGAGTTAAGTTTACGCTCTGTCCTCCAGTCAGTTCTCTGAGATCGTCTGTTACCAAAATTAAAATATGACATTTGATAACTAAAATAGTTTTAGTGGCGTAAACTTTATAGTAATTTTGGAACATTACTTTCACATGGTATCCACAAAAATAACCTAGAGATAGTATTTACAGCTTAAATGTTAACCTATAGCCTACTCAAATCTAGTCAACTCAAAAACGTCTATTCACCATGTACCTGATATGTAATGTTTTTATATGTAGCCTAACTAATCTGACATGGTCTATTACTGTATTTCATGTTCAATGATCAAATATAGAATCTTGAATCTTAAAAATACATTGAGCAAGAAGGAACGGAAACACAACTAACTTGCCAAAGAGAATAGTTCCAGGCAGTTGACAACACACGATAAGATCACAAGAGGTGAACAATGTCTCACACAACAAGGTACCTTGTTACCTTATCTTTACAAGGAGGCTTCTTCAGAGAACAAAGTAGGCCTACTCTTGTGGTGATAGTACTTGGATCATTCTTTCCTTGAGTACGATTGTTGTGTATCCACTCCTTCTTTGTTTGAATGTATTTATGAAAACCAGTGATTTAGCAATCAATAAAAAATATATCATCTTTGAGATCCTCTTCCATTATCAAGACTCCACTAGTGAACAGTAGGAAAGGCAAACATTTAGATAGAGTGGACACGTACCCTTTGCTCCTCTCCACTGCCTCACAGCTGATGTTGTCAAAGAAGCTCTTAGCCTTGTCGTAGTAGATGACTTCCTGTTCAGGCTCCTCCTCAGGCTCTCCCTCTCCCAGACCAGTCTCATTGCCAGAGTCGTCCTTCTTGTCTTCACCATTCACCTTGGGCTTCTCTACCTCTCCATCTGATGACACAATAAACTGGTCAGTGGTCAGGTCAACAAAGCACTGGAACTACACTATACAGTGTGTAAATTAAGTCTTGAAACAAGTCTCTATTTTTTATACCGAAATAGATAGAAATATTCTGTTTGTGGCTTTGATTGTTAACAAAGGTTCCGTAATATTTTACATCAAAATATTTGTTAACCCCCCTAACAGGGTAGAAGTAACTTATTTTTTTCAAATGGCAACCCCTCATTTTGAAGGAATTGTCAAAAGAAACACAATGACGCAAACCCGAGGTAGATATCTCACCCCTCGCCAAAAAGGCAGGTATTCCAAAAATTGATTTTTTGAAAAGGCACCCATTTTGGAATACCCGCCATTTTGGCTAGGGGTGAGATATTCACCTCGGGTTTGCGTCATTGTGTTTCTTTTGACAAACCCTTCAAAATGAATATTCAGAATGAGCTTGAATAGCTCAATAGGGGTTGCTATTTGAAAAAAATGTCACTCCAACCCCCTACCCGGCTAAGGGGGTAAAAATAAAATTTTTTTTTTACCCCCTACCCGGCTAAGGGGGTAAAAAAAATTTTTGGGGGTAAAAAATTGCAAAACTTTTGTTAAGAATGAAATCGTCAATATGCGTGGTTCAATCTACTCGATATCACGGACGATCAGTTAATATAAAATATCAGAAATGACATTAATAAATGTGAACAAAAACCAAACCATATTCTTTATTTTTCATACATCAAACAACAACTAAAACTCTTATTTGTTTTTAACCAAAAACAATTTAAAAACATCTGACTATATAAGATTTATCTATATAAGAAAACAGTCTTTTGGCAAACAAATAAGAATATTATATTGAGGTGTTTTCTTTGTAAATGATTTATCATCGTACGTCAAGAATCAATGCTACAAACAGAATATTTCTATCTATTTCGGTTTTAAAAATACAGATTTGTTTCAAGACTTAATTTGCACACTGTATAATTACAGTTGTAACAACAATGCCACCCATTCTCATTCGCCTGATTGGATTTTCACTTATAATCAATTAAAATAAAAATTTTCACATCAATTAAAATGTTATTGGGTTTAACGAGTACCTTAGTTTACTGCTACAGGGAAGGTAATAAAGTGCATGTTTTAGTAAAATATATAAAGCTTAGTATAAAATAAATTTGCCAAGTTTGATCTGATCAAAATACTTCCATATACAAGTCAACTACAACAGTTTACTTAACTGTTTAAAATCTAAAAATAACATGTGAATTTAAAATTTACATTTTTTTTTAAATTTGTTTCAACCTCTTTCAAATTGTTATTGTTTTGAGGGTAAAATATTTAAAAAAAACTTATTTTAACCCCAAAAAACCTAGTTCTTATAATGCTGGTTCGTGAACTTGTTTGAATAGATGTAGGTTTACACGTTTGGACCAAATTTCCTCAAAATAGGATCATTTTTGCTTGACTTATCGTGCTAACTATATATAGGCCTATCAGAAAAAATAGTTATTAATGCTACTATTTTAATATTTAAACACATTTTTAATCTGAAGACCCTTTAAGAATTCATTTTATTATATATATAAATTTGAACGGATGGTGTTTTTTGCCATGGGGGACATCAAAACAAAAAAGTAAATCAGTCCTGGGTCTAGGTCTTACCATGAGACAAACCTTTGGTAACAGCTTATTCCTTATATGAGAAATTCACTAAAAACACCTCATAATTCAATGAACAATGAACATAAAATATCCATGGCAATGAAAAAATTAACATAATGTGTACTCTTGTTTCACTAATCATAGGACAAAGGAAATGCTAAACTAGTGAGGTAAATCAACCATCCAATACCTTCACCAGCTCTAAACTAAATAACTAACCTCCAATTATGTACAGCAAAACTTAACACTTGCATGAACAGACAAAGGCAAGATGAAAGCAGGCTACAAACATAACCCAGTCCCCAACCGCATTACCAGTGTTTCACCTCAAAATCGTTAAGAGCTTTAGCTCCTCCCAACTCCGAAGATGGGAACTCTCTCATCAGTAACAAAATCCAGAGACCCTTCAACCTTAGCTTAATTAATTCATTCTTAACTAAAAACTTTAGGACTATAGCCAGTGAATTATCTAGACCCTTAGTCTTGTGTGTGTATATAAAATATGATTTTGCAGTGAATGGAAGGTTGGCATTTCTACACTACAATTGGAATTTTTCTTTTGATTTTGAACTCATTGGTTATAACAAAAAGTGTATACCAAAAAAGACTAATTGTAATTGTAACCTGCTACTGCTATCCTAATAAAAATATTTTTAAAAAAGGCTAATATATCTTGAGGGAACACCTGTTATTTTTACAGGTTTATTGACATCTTAACATTAAAAGTGTAGCAACATTTACTAACCAGAAATTTTCAGCTTGGCTGTTTTATTTTTTAGTTCTTCAAACTCTGAGTTGGCCTTGTCAAAGTCATACTCCTCTTCAAACTTGAGTGTGTTCTGTTTGCCTGTGTTGTTCTTGTTCTGCTGCGCCTGCCCTGAGCCCGGGGCTCTGTTGAAGTTTCCTGGTGCTCCGCCTCGACCGCGACCTCTCATGCCAGGACCACCGCCTCGACCACCTCGGTTCACCCAGCCTCCTCGGTTCTGCTGACCCCTGCCACCTTGTTGCTGACCCTGTAAATAACCCCACCATCACCATGCAGTTTTCAACAAACTTAAATCCAGAAATTTAAATTAAAGGACAGAATTTGATCCAATCAACCCCTCTACTGAATCATCAATCCAGTTGAATTTATTACAGTTCAATTTAACATCTTATTACCATTTTTAACACAGTACAACTCCTCTGTATCCTTATTACACTTGCAGATAAAAAGGAATTTGAGAATTTTTGCAAAACAGTAATCATAGTAAACAAAATAGTAAGTGTCATTGTGCCTGGTTTAAATTTAGCAGTATGCATTTTTATATTGGTATAACACTTTTCTTTGCATTGTTTTAGGTTGCCTTCCCACTGGGTCGCAGCCACGCTTGTCCCTTCCCACACGGTGGCTGTGACTTTCTCACTAACCTCGTGTATTGTCCCATTGGTCAAAATGGATTCGAGTGATGAGGAACTCCTGCTTGTGCTTTTGTTATGTAAGGTGGAGAAGAAAACAAAAAATGTGGATGCATCCAATTCTTAAGAGTAGGCAAGACAAAGGCTTATATTTTACTTTATTTGATAAACTTAGCGTGCATGGAGACAAGTTTTTTAACTTCTTCAGGATGTCTTAGAGTTAGTTAAGGACCTTCTTGGTTACATTAAAGGAGATTTAACTGGGATGAGACGACAAACAAGCTGCGCGCACACCACCAAGAGCTAGTAAAAAGCTAAGCACGCATCCCCAAGAGCAAGGTCGCAGCCATCTAGTGGGAAACTACAATAGCCTGCTACGAGTTGGGTTGATAAAAATGCACGGTGGAAGCCACCGACCAGCGACGCAGTTCTTCGGCGACCGAGTAGCTGCCACCGAGGTGGGTCGCTGCGACCCGATAGTGAGAAGGGCTCCTTAAGACACAATGCAATTTTACAGTTCTGGTTGCTGACGGGTGGCTGCGACCCAGTGGATGCATTCAGTTGTTTTTCCACCTATTTTATATGATGGTATGTGAACATTAAACAATTTTATGATTACAAATTTGATTTGGTTTTACTTGTAAGACCTATGTAGTTGCATGAAATATTTTGAAGGATGGGACCGTGGCGTCGTCCTGTTTCAATCCAGCTACTTTGAGGTCTTGAATTGTGGATATTTTTATAAGCATTATCTGTGGATGTGATAAGCCCTGGTAAGTATTAACATCCACACTAGTTAGTACTACGACTATCCGCAGTACTATCCTGATAATTAGACCAATTCGTAAATTACAAGGGAAAAATGTGGTTCAGATTCCATAATAATTAAGTATGACACAAGCTGCCACAAATTTACAAAGAAACAGTTTAATAACAAGCAAAATACTGACTGGGAAGGATTCTCTCCTGTTGTCCGGGTCCCTGCGGTCGTGTGAACCTTGCCGTTGCATCCTGTGGTCTTCTTTGAGTGCATTATTTTGACCACGATCCCTAAAGTCCCCATCTCTCTGGTTCCTATCTCTATACTCTCCATCCCTCTGATTCCTGTCCCTGTAATCATTGTCCCTTGGTCCACGGTAATCTCTCCTCTGATACGAGTCTTGGTAACGATCGTTTCTATTCTGACGGCTGGAAATCAAAATAAGACATGTTATTTGCAGCAAAACTGTTGGACAATACCTGATAATCGGGTAGCTGTTGGAAACTACAACACTAACAGTAAATGGTCAAGATTCCCGGCAGAATTTATAAACAGTATTGGCTGTTTTTTCGGTTATATACTATTTTTGCCAATGAGTTCACCACCTTCACGGCAGTTATTTAAAATACCTTATCACCATTATAAAATAAACAATTGAGTTTTGAGCAAGATTAACTTCTAAATTATATTTTAAATTCACCAACCAATTTTACCGTGCAAACTCATCATCCTTCCCACTTGTTTGATATTTTATGCCATCCACACAACATTAGAAGGTAAACTTCTTAGCAGTTAAGATAAGTTTTTACCTAGTTCTGTGACACAACTTGGGAAAACATTTGCCTTATATCCCAATCTATTTTTATATTGAGGAACACATATCCTGCTATGTTAATAATTAAAACTAAGAAATATGTCCTCCACAAATTCCATGTGGGATATTTAGCAGTAAAAATGTATCAGTAAGTAAACCAAAAATTACAACAAATAGATACAACACATTACTAAATTCAATGTTGTACATAATTCATTAAGACGTTTTACATAAACGGATAGTTAGCTGAAAATAGATAAACTAACTCACCCATCACGAGGTATTGGGGGCTGAATAGGCTTCTTGTCCTTATTGGGTGAAACTTGGACACCTTGGTCGTTGGTGGGAGACTTGCGAGACAGAGACGGTGTGGACGAGCGAGAGCCAGACAGCAGCTCTAGAACAGACACTGACACTGAACCTCTAGCCGCACTTAACCCTAACTACTTGCAGAAACAAATATCAAGTGTTGGTAGGACAGTAGTAAAAAATACATAACTGTGCTTGAGGGGTTTTGTATATGTTCTTTATAGGAATTCAACAAATTCGGAAAATTTAAAAACATGAACCTAGCCTTTTTACAACGCCTAAATCAATTTCTTATACTTTTATGCAATTTAAAAAAAAGGATCCATAAGGTCAGCAACTTGAATCTACATGCTTAATTGAAATGACTTTCTTAATCAAGCCACATAAAACAAACTGTTTTAAGGTACATAACAGTTAGCTGAGAATCAATTAGTGACAATTTATATAAAACAAGATGTTGTTAAATGTTGCAGCTAAAATTTATTTTGTGCAGTAATCTAACTTACCAGTTATCAATCTTATTTTCATATGTAAATGAAAGCCAATTCATGGAAGTCAATTCATTAAAGTGCAACAAAAGGCAAGATGAATATTGTTGGGTTTGGTAAATTTACAATCAATAAAAACAAACCAACTTCTATACTTTCAATACCAACAAAATTCAAGGCCCTACTAATCATGCACAAATAAGCTGAAAACCATTACAAATAGGCAAATATATGTCCAGTTTATGGTCCAAATAGTAACAAATGTATTCATTGTAAACAAGCAATCATTCTAAAGTATTCATTGTAAACAAGCAATTACTCTAAAGTACTTTCAACTCATCTAAAACATGCACAAAACAACGCAAACCAAGCAGAGCCGAAGCGTGTGGGTGAGCTGGTGGCAAAGCAGAATCCATGCGTCCATGCTCATTATTGAAAATTACAACGTACCGCTGTTGGGCTCTTTTACAATAGGGATGACCGGCACTTGGACCTGAACCTGAGGAGGTGGCTGATGTGTCGGTGGTGGCTGGTGGGGAGGGGGGTGCTGGAGATGGCTGTCTGGCAACTCACTTGACAACGGCTGATGACCTACAGTCCGACCAACCCCTGGGGCCCTGTAGCCGCTGTACTGCGGCGGCATCGAAGGCATCGTGTGGTTAAAGCCAGGCTGACCTGGGTAGTTGCCACTGCCGGTGGACATCCCTCCTGGGCCCATGCCCATCACCTGTGATAAAATATCACTATTGAATATATTTCCTTTTTTTAATTCCGTGTTGTTGTGAACTCCTATAATTTCTTAGTTACACATCATTAAGACCTTTGGGAGCTGTGTTGGTTTAAATGCACAATGGCTCTGGTGGTACAAATACAAACTGGGACTGGTCAAAAATTGTGTCTTGTAGGAAAACATATATGATGTAAAGTTGGATTTGGTGCTACAAAAGGTCTCCAGGCCGAAGTAGCTAGGGGTATGCCATTACCCCAGCCCCCACAAAAAAAAAAATGGATTTGGATAGCATCCGTTAAGTGACAGCCCAAAAGTATGTGGCACTTATTTTTTGGAATATTTTGGGAAACATTTCAACATGTTTTCTAAAGTAGACAAACGGATCAAAAATGTGTCTCTTTTGCTCTGTTACTCGATAAAATAGTATAGGCCTAATAATATCAAAAAGCTATTGTAATATAATATATACCAAGTAAGCAATGAATTTAGGTAAGACTGTAATCATTTGGACTAAGTTATTGCTGCTGGTTAGTGAAGTAGTCAGTTCACAAATTAATTTATTACTCTCTGTCCATCTATGTATTTTAATATGACCACGTCTGATTTCTTAATAGATAGTCTTTCTTCTTTAATAGAAATTAAATTATTGAATAGTTCTAGTTGGCCTATTTCTAAAACCAATGCGTAGAATGAAACTTGAAGAAGGTATTGTTAAAATGTCCAATTTTATTAGCCTGGTTTGGACTTTCCCTTACTTACCACAATTAAAAAATATGTTATAAGTATGCATTCAGTTCCTTTGTAACAACAGCAACGGTTGTCTAAATAACATACTTGGGAATTACATAGAATAAAAGTTCTAACGAATAGCAATATTCGTTAGTTTTTTTGGCTAACTTCTATTTTATTGTGCTGGAAATAACTTCTACTCAGTTAGATTGATAAGTAACGAATATATAATATATTCGTTGGTTTTAAATCGTTTGATTTTTGGTCAGGTGGAAGTATCTCAAATACGGGTTACTTATTTTACATGATCAGTGAGGGTTGCGTGCGGCCGTGAGAGGTCAGCGCCCTTGTTGACAAACAACACAGGGGGTGGGGAAAGAGAAAGTCAAAGTCCAGTAGCTTTGGTATGCAGTGGGCCAGTGGAAGGGCAGTGACTGCCAATAACAACACCCCAAGCACCGAGGAGTGGGAAGAGGGAATGTTTGTTTGGTGTATAATCTCAAGTGTCAAAACATTGGTCCTCAGTTGATGTTCATTATCTGACAGTAAGTTTTAAGTCATTTGTTTCTGTTTTAGTAATCTAAAATGTGGCAAATTTTTATTAAAACACAATTAGTTACCAAGATGTGTCATGATTTCATTACATACAAAATCTATTAAAAAACTGCCCAACAAACCAGGACTACAAACATACAAGGGCTAGCCCAGTCCTTTGAAGTGAACGCGTGCCGCCTGATGCTGCCCCCCCCTCGTCTCGCGCACCCCACCTTCTACCGCTGTGACGTAGCAGTGGGAGCTGCCGATAGACACTGCCATTGTTACACGTGCTTTTACGCCTGCAGTTATCTTCTATTTATAACGTTTTTACATAGAAATATGATATTGTTTGGTTATGATATTATTTTACACGTAATAGTAGTTTCATATCATGTAGTTTTAAAGAGTATTTTACACCATGGTGGGCTGCAGTGTTGCAATTTGTAGGAACCGCTCTAATACAACAAAAGATGTAGTGTATCACGTTTTTTTTTTTCAAGTTTGAGAAGTGTGTGGGTACAGAAGTGTAAGAGAGCTGATGTTTTCGATCCCAAAAATGGTAGTGTGCAGTGAAAAGTTTTTGGAAAGTGATTATTTAGACGATTTAAAACCACAACTTCTTGGATAATACTGATGGAAGGTGCCTAATTTAGAATATAAGTATATAATATAGGTAAATTATCACCCACCTTAGAATATAGGTTGGTGATTGTTAATTAAAGAAAAATAAGGAAAGTAAAATGGGGAATTAGGGAAACTGCTCTTGAAACAATAAAATCTCTTAGCCCAAAAAAAGTAGCACGCGTAAAACAATTAATACGCCAATTACTAGCCCAAATAACAGTCGTATCAAACAAATGATTTTATAAACTTATTTTTAATTCATTCCTTTCTATATAACATCACCTTTCAGGAAAAAGTTGACTTTTTATTGAGTTGTAAACGTGTGCATACGTGAAGTTTAATAAAATTACGAAGAAATAACCTAACCATTATTGTTCCTGGTGATTAATTTAAAAATCCTGTAAACAATAGGTCTAAATGAAAATGTCTATAATAAAATGTTATTTGTGTTTTGTGTCAACTGTATGTGTGTTTTATTTACTTATTTCATCAAAAGAAACTGAGGTTAGTGTAAGCATAGAACTTGAATCACTCTAAATAAGTTATTAAGCTAAACAGATTATTTAATTTACCTATTGTATTTTATTTGCATATCACAATTTACTGTTAAAATGTTAGGGCAGATAAATATACTAATTGTTTCTTAGTTAATTATTTTATAACAATTCCACTAATTCTATGAATATCACCTATTTGACAGTAGACCTATTGCTATTATTATTTCTGTATTAAAAATATATTGTATTATCATATAGTTAACTGTCAATAAATACGTTATGAAAAACCGATATAGTCATCAATCTGGATTATTAGAACAAAATTCACAACAGAGCAAGTGCAAACACAGGTATGAGATACTGTACTGCTGCACGAGACACCTCCCGCCGCTACGTCACACCCGCAAGGGGAGGGGGGCTGGCATCACTTTTCGAGCGCTTGGGTTAGCCCTTCTATGTTTGTAGTCCTGCCAACAAACAGCTAACTTCTACGAAAACTAACTTTATTTTCTATCAGTTCGTTTTTAAACTAACTAATAACTTCTATCAGTTACTTTAAAAACTAACTAACTAATAACTTCCATCGGTTACTTTTTACGGGACTAACTACCTAATAACTTCTACTAGTTAGGATTTTTGACTAACTTTCCCAAATATGCTAAATAAACGGTATCAGCATTCTGACACATAATTTCTCCCACAAGCTTGTCAACAACCTTTATCATTTGACAGTAGACCTATTGCTATTATTATTTCTGTATTAAAAATATATTGTATTATCATATAGTTAACTGTCAATAAATACGTTATGAAAAACCGATATAGTCATCAATCTGGATTATTAGAACAAAATTCACAACAGAGCAAGTGCAAACACAGGTATGAGATACTGTACTGCTGCACGAGACACCTCCCGCCGCTACGTCACACCCGCAAGGGGAGGGGGGCTGGCATCACTTTTCGAGCGCTTGGGTTAGCCCTTCTATGTTTGTAGTCCTGCCAACAAACAGCTAACTTCTACGAAAACTAACTTTATTTTCTATCAGTTCGTTTTTAAACTAACTAATAACTGCTATCAGTTACTTTAAAAACTAACTAACTAATAACTTCCATCGGTTACTTTTTACGGGACTAACTACCTAATAACTTCTACTAGTTAGGATTTTTGACTAACTTTCCCAAATATGCTAAATAAACGGTATCAGCATTCTGACACATAATTTCTCCCACAAGCTTGTCAACAACCTTTATCATGGATAAGCGGTGAGAGTAAATTATGATATTTTATAGTTAAAAATCACAAAAGTTGCAATAACTTTTGAACAGTAATTGTTGCAGAAATGGGTAACAATTACGTTAATTGTTGGATTAGAGCTATAGTACTATTTTTTTAGAATTATTATATGGACCATAACATATTAATTTGGATCAAAACCAGCTTTTCTCCAAAAATCTGATTTTTTGTCATTTTATTGTTTTTTATGGGAAAATAACATACGTTACAATAACTTTTGAACCATAATTTTTATGGAAATGGGAATTGTACCATTTTGTTCAGAATTTAAAGGACAATAACATAGGTACTAAATATTTAAGAAAATAGTTCGGGCCATTTTTGAGAAAATCCGATTTCTCCCTAAAATAATGCATTGTGTTGCTTTTATTGAGACTAAGTCTGCTGATTTTTTAAACCAGATCTTTAGTTTATAATTATTGTTGATGGAAAATTCATGTCCAATTATAACCTTGCTAACAGTAAATAGGCCTGTACTTACGATAGCCGGATCATCAGGAAGCTGTTGTGTATTGATGATACTGATGTCCTTGATGTCTGTTCCTCGGAACAGAATATATTCATACACCTGACTCTGTGCAGGCACTGGGTATTGCGCCTGCCTGTCTTCTGTACCAAACGAGCGCACTGCATAACAAAAAGTAATTAGGCCTAATGAAGAATTAAAAATTAAACATAGAAAACAATTTTATTTCTTCAGTACACAGGTCCTTCTAAAATATCATTGTGATTTGAATAGCTCAATACTTTTAATGCCACAAGCGTTGATAGCAAAAGAAAAAATATCTTAAGAAAATAGTGTATAGGTAGTACTCTAGCTTTTCCTTGTTTAACTAGCGTGTCAATACAATACATTTTTTCAACACATCCTTGAAATAATAGCCACTATTTCAATTAAGTTTAAGCTTTCTTTTAACCTTACGTAACATAACTTTCAATGCCAATTACAAATGTCAAAAATTGCCAGTTTTACAAATCCCCCTATTTAACATGGGTTTTAACCCATGAATAAAATAGTCTAATAAAGTTAAAAAAATAAATATATACACAGCACTGTAATATATATATAGAAACTGATACTTTAAAATAAAGCAAGACAGATTTTAAAAGCCACTATACTTATCTCGAACATTGGCATGTAAACTTAGGATACCGTGCTAAATGTTGGATTTATTTATAGCACACCATTAGGCCTATGATATACCCTTTTTTGGAATTTTCTCTGTAAACATTAGGCACATGATAAAACTTCAACATACTAAATTATTTGTTCTTTTAAGCTCTCAAAAATGGTTTTTTATGATAGAAAAGGGGAAAAACCCATTTTAACGCCATGGCATAAAACCCCCGTTCCCATCATGCTGGTTTGCGAACTAGCTCGAATAAGCGTAGGTTTACACGTTTGTACCAAATTTCATCAAAATCGGATGATTTTTGTTGGAGTTTTTGTTTTAATGGACACACACACACACATATACATATAGGCTATATATATAAAAGGCTGATTTTTAACAATTTTTGTGATTTGCAGGGTGAAATAGGCGTTTGTCCTTAAAGTGCCAAATGTAAAAAGTGTTCAAAATAGGCCAAATAATGAGAAAAAACATTTTTTCAAAATTCTTAAGAAGCCCCTAAAGTAAACAAATGCCCTATAGGCCTATAGGTGTATATGAATTTGAACGGATGGTGTTTTTGGCTTCTAGAGACCTCAAAACGATAAAGTAAATCAGTCCCAGGTCCAGGTCTTACTACAGGGAGTACTATAATATGAGAAATTTGATAAAATTATTGTAACAGGCATATATTCAAATATTACAATCATTAGATTTCTCTCCAAGAAAAAATAATTTACCTATGCCTTTGAAATGCATTGTAGGCCTACTGATACTGCTTTGGGATTCTGCAGAGAACCTAGGCTTTTAAGTTCATAAAATATCAAATTACATATTAGTCTGGCTACTTTGATAAATCATAAGTTATCATTGACTATTGGATGCAGAAGTAGACATACCATCTATATGGACCAGCTGTTGCCAATTTTTTATTAAAAAAGAACGTAGTTGTGTGAGCCAGTCACAGAAAGTGCTACCGGTAGTGTCTGAATTTCTATTTGATACCTTATTTTTGGTTGCTGACCAGGTTGATGGGTCATAACAGCATAACAGGTTGTTATAAATAGCTCACCATAAGTCATTCCCTAAGGTTGACTTTGTAAAAAAGTTTGTGTATGCGACAGAATTTAGTAATTTAGATCAGCGCAATCTGTAGGTGGCTCACATCAACTAAAACAGTTTTGATAAAAAAGATGGCTACAAATTTAACATGGGGATGGAATGTCTAAAGTCAAAGGTTGCAGGGCCGTCCCTAGGGTTGGCGGCGCCCGGAGCAAACGTACTTGTGGCGCCACCTCCCCTCCAGTAATAATAGTCGCATTCACATATTTTAATAGGTACTATGTTAATACAAATAGTCGCTGTGCGAATACCCTCAACTCGCTGTGCGGCACCCCCCTCAGCCACGGCGCCCGGGGCAGCTTGCCCCCCCCTTGAGACGGCCCTGGTTATATGTATCGGATGTAGTTTTTATGCGATATACATATGGTAATTTAATTAATTTATGCAGAATATGAATATTTAAATTAAATTTAAACTATACAGTCTTTTCGACAAGACTTTTTCACACTGTGCAGCGGTGGTAATTTAAGGTTCAAGGGTAGGTTTTTTTTAAGATAGAGTTCAGTTCAGCTTAGTTTAACTTAATTTGAAATCAAGGCAAACAAGGAATGTTTACCATTCCATTTAACTTTAAAAAAATAAAAGATGCAAGCCTAACTAAGTTTTTTATGTTACCGGTACTTTCTATAGGCTACCTAACTATTTTTTTTAAGATAAGTTAAATTTACAAAACGTCAAATTGTGTCCTCTTTCAAACTAGTTCCTTTTTTTCCCCTTAACTCCCTTTTTCTATTTCTGTTTTGGGTTGGGTCTCTTAAGAAGGCCTGCCACTTGTAAAGTGCAATGCAGATTTTAGGCTAGGTTAGTTTAAATGATAACAAACAAGGTGCCATTTAACTTCATCTTAGGTGCTCTCAGGGACGTATTTAAGTATCTGCCGCCTCTAGGCAACAAAGTTTGCCGCCGCCCCTCCCGCTCCCACTTTTCAACGCACTCCCCGACCTCACTAATATCACCCCAATGGCCAATACATGCCCTGTCAGCTGGTTTTGTGGAAAAAATAATCGGTAATATTGCATGCTGCATCAACAAATTTAATAACTTTTCACCACACTATGATGTTTTTAGCTGTTTTACTTGCGTTAATTGGTGGCTGAAAGTTACGTTTTGCTGGCCATGCCAGCTGTCATCGTCATTTGGGGACCGAGCAGGTTCTTACATCCCTAGGGCCGCAAAATCAGCTGATCGCTTACTTTTTTAAACATGAATGCATATTAAATACACAATCAGTATCCATAGCATTGCAATAAAATTGTTTTATTGTCACCGCTGCCTAGCAACTATTTATTTTAATTTTTGCTGATTCCTCAAATTATTTCTTTACATAACCTTAAAGTTCTAGTTGTGTTGACTATCAGTGTGCATAATTATTGTGGTGAATATAGTGCTATTAAGGTAAAGTGTGGTGGAAAATGGCGTTTGTACCACGGACCGAAATGGTTTTGCAGCTCTCGATCGTTTTAGGTTGACTTCGTCTCGAACCTAAAAACTATCTCGAGCCGGCGAAACCTCATTTTCGGCCCTAGGTACGAAATATACTATTTCGACCCCTTTAAACGGACGTTTTTGTGCCGTTTTTTTTCAAAACATTCTGACTTGGATAGGCCTACACGGAATGCACCGTTTTTTCTATCTAATCAGTATTTTTACAATCCCATTTTGCGGCTTTAAACGGCACACAAAATCGTCTGTATACAATGGTTCTTATAACGCTTTTCATTGAACACTATTAGTCAGATCCACTTGAGAGACGTGCTATTGGCTTTGATTTGAAATGAAGGAAATATGTTTTCTTAAACTATTTTTCTCTTACAAAAAACACATGAATTGCAAAGAAAAATTACGTACTTTTACTGAAAGAATAATATACAATTTTAAATTAGTTAAGTTTGGTACAGTGGTAAGTATTTAGTTCACACTTTCCTTCTTGATTTTAACCTAGCAAAAGAATCTTTCAGCTATAGTGCTGCCACTGCGTAGTGGTGTATGAAGTAAACAGAAGGGAGTGTTTTCTACGTTTGTCACTAGACATAGCGGCCGGCACGGCGACCCGGTCCCGCGGCGAGCGTGTCCGCCAGACCAATAGGGCAGCACGGACAACTCTACACAGCTGTGTAATAAACTATTGACGTTTGTTTGACTTGGATGCGGTATACTTAATCAAAATATTTGAAATGGCTATTTTGCCGTTCCCAAAATTATTTGCTAAATTTTTTTTTAGATTAAAACTTTGTTTTTTTTATTTTTTTACCCTCAAAATTTTGCCGCCCCTAAAATTTGCCGCCCTAGGCGGGAGCCTAGTCCGCCTATTCGGAAATATGTCCCTGGGTGCTCTTAAATCAAACTGATATATAATCCGATAACTGAGCGAAGCTCTTTGAGATCAGTTATGCAAACTATGTAATCAGATAACTCAATAACACCTGAACATATTAAAAAAGCCTTATTTTCCAGGGTTATTTTGACAAACAGTGAACATGATATTAAACAAATTGCTATTAGTTTTGTACCAAATATTGGTTTAAATAGGCAACAGTAAAAGAAAATCTTTGTTAACTTATTGAAAATACACCCTGCATTTATAAAGCACGAATTCTATAGTAATTACTTTTTCAAAAATAAGCATTTTTGAAAAAGTAATTTGAAGTGTTTTTCACAGGATTTTAATTTTACAAAAACAGTCTGCAGGCGACATAAACTAACAACTGGATAGGCATACATTATAACCTAAACTTTACCTTCCTAGTCTACCTACTTCAAAACACTTAATGCAGTCACCAATTCGCATAAAGTACGACCAACCACCCTGACATGCCCAAATAAGAACTACATGTAGCCTAATTCGTCCACCAGTCCATCTATATCTCCATAATGTGACAAAATTCCTATTAGGCCTATAGAAAACATTATTGACTACAAAATCACTTGAAATGTTTCTACAATGTTATCATCAACGATGTTATTCTTCTCATCAACCATGTTAGGCTACTCTCTTCACTTGTAACTTCACTTGTAACTGAACTTGTAATGGCGTAGCAGACTAGCACTACGCAGCACATATGAGTAGGCTACCTTAATACCTCTTTCTTCGTCTTTTACCCACAGTGTGGGATTGAAAGCGTCACTTTACACGATTACTAATAAAAAATACCCCGCCGCAGAAAACCTGCAGACTAAGCAAATTTCCATTTGCACTAAAATGTCTACTTAAAAATATAACATTTATTTCCTATTTAAATAGAATTAGTTTAACAAGTACCTACTTAGGTTTGCTGAATCAGGGAGGGTAAAACCGTTTTTTTTTTATGTTATAACTTAGTTAGACCTAGTAAGAAATAAAAACATTTTCCAAATTTGATCAAAATATGTTCATAAACAAGCAAACTACAACAGTTTTACTTGTTCTCCATAACAAAAACATGGGAATTTCAAATTTTAATTTTTTCGGAATTTTTTCCGTAACCATTAGGCGCATAATAGGACTTCAATATACTAAATTATTTGTTTTTTTAAGCTCTACAAAATGGTTTGGGAAGAAATTGCTAAATTTTATGTTTTTTGGGTCAAAAATGAGAACCCCATAAAACCCCCCGTAAACCCCCGTTCAATGGTCCGATCATGCTGGTTCGCAAACTCGTTCGAATAAATGTAGGTATGTTACATGTTTGTACCAAATTTCATCAAAATCGGATCATTTTTGCTTGAGTTATCGTGCTAATGGACACATATATAGGGAGAGCGGGGCACATTTGAACGGTTTAAATTTGCTGTCATTTTTATACTCGCAGGCCATTGGACCAGATGTAAAATGTAGCCCTCCAATAGGGCAACTGGTTGCATTCATCTCCCTCCATTTCTGATCAGTTCTTAGTTTGTTGTTGGGAAAAGAAGTTTTAGAGCGCCATAAGAAAATTTTTTAAGCAGTAGGGATTTGTAAATTTTAGAAAAACTACATTACAGATAAGTTTAATCCATTTACCTTATGGCTTCCTACATATTTAGATACAATTATGCACTTCACATTGATAAATTACAATCCAAGAAAACATAATTTAACTTTTTGCAAAATGGTGTCTAGTGGGGTAGATTTGAACAAGAGCCTGAGGGGTACATTTGAACACCATGTTTTCCTCATGGTAAGCATGTTGTTCAAATGTACCCCAACTGATTATATCTGTTTCCTATACAAGACAGTAATGAATAATGATAATTTAAGACTATAAGCTTCCTCAACCAACAATGAGTGTGAGAACTGCACATGCAGCGAACTAATATAATTTTGCTATTAACTTTGCAACATTTAAGTTCTAGATATAAATAACATTAATCTAAAACATTAAATGAAGAATTAGTTTCAATAGAAATAAGAACTGTTTTTATCAACTCACATGCATAACGATTTCTGTAAAATAAAAATTTTCATTTTACTTAATTAGTGTGTTCAATTGTACTGTACCCCACTTCTTGTTCAAAAGTACCCCACCAGTGGGGTAAGTTACTTTTAAATTTGCATACCTTTGTGAAAACAGATATTGCACATTACATGTTAACTTGGAGGGTTTAAAAAATTAAAGCTAACATTATGTTACAACTAAATGTAATAATATTGTTATTAAAAACACATAAATTCACCTATTAAAAAATTAAAGTTTTAAAAGTGTTCAAATATGCCCCACTCTCCCCTATAGCCTATATAAATATATATACCTATATGAATTTGAACGGATGGTGTTTTTGGCCTCTAGGGACCTCAAAACAAACAAAAAATTGGTCCCGCGTCCAGGTCTTACCATGAGTACTACGGAAATTCGCTAAAAACAATATTTACAACTATTTACATACTTCCGGCAGGCTACAGGTTTCTTAAATCACCCCTTAAAAACTCTGAGATATCGTAATAGGCCCGGCTCTTGATGAAAGTGGTAAACACTGCCTCAAATGTTCTCAAGTCCAACAACTAGATATGTCGTGGCAGCTTAAACAGTTATAACAGAGTATTTTTGTTTTGAGTTCTAGTTGTAGTGAAGTAAAATGACGTCACTAGTCATAATGCTGATGATAGAATCAGAGTGAGTTAATAAAGTTCAAAAGTTGTTACTTCCAGTTGCTTGTCGTGTGGTTGAAAACAGTCAGCTGTAGGCTTATTTAGTTACCCACAGTTCATTCCACTTGTAAATGTTATCCATCCTACCTTGATTATTGTAATGTTGAATATTTTTGGTACTTGAGTATTAAACGGAAGCCACCTAACCTACAGTTTCTTAACTTAGCTATGATAATACTGATTATTAGTAAACCTTCATTCGATGTTTTCACTATCAGCAAGTTTGGTTGGTTAGGTTAGGTTATGATAGTTTAATTTTATAACTGATATAGCTGACCAGACACAGTGACAGGCGATGACAGGTAATGGCGCGCGCTCCGGTCAACGACCCTGACCTTGGCCTACTTGGAGGGGATTCTGCGAGTAGACACATGACTCATCTGATAACGCTCGACTCACAACAATACTAGAATAGTTCTACTACAACATCTATAACAATTTAACCCTCTATAAGTGCCGCGGCGCGTTTCGTAATGGTGGCCTCCGTTTAATACTCAAGTACCATATTTTTACAGCGATATCTTGAGAAATATTCATCAGCGGTGAAAAATAATGGTATAAGGCCTAAATTTGGGTTCAGGAGGTAAAAAAATACAAGTTAAAGTAAGACATCAAAATTAAAAATTCGTTTGGAGGCACCTGTACGGAATAAATACCCAAAAAGGATCTGAAATTATTCTATCAAAAGGAGAGATTTCTTTAAGTAGGCCTAAACAATAAAAAGCAGACAATTCAAAATAACCTTTTTTTTGTAGGCTAGCCCTATCTCAAAATTAATGGTAAGTTATATCAATAAAATTCATCATTGGCCCATAAATAAATGGAGTTAATTATTCAAAAGAACCTTAAACTTTTATAAGTGGAAGACCACATGTGCACTAAAGACATGTTGAGACAAAAACTTTTTAAACATGAAATATCATGACAGACCTCCATGGTTTCTGTGGCCTAACCGCATTAAATCTAACTTAATATTTTATCGTGAGCTTAAAAATGTTTCAAGAAATAATCAATATTTAGCAAGGACGATGGAATTAAAATATATTACTCCATTATAGAAGCATAAAAGTGTTTAATATAATGAAATATCTAATGTAAGATTGAAAAGAGAAAATCGATGTAGGCCTACGCAGTAAAGACTTACCATGAGAAAGAGCGATTGTACATTCATTTGGATCGACTGTAAAAAGTTTCCCCTCGTATCTAATATCAGCTTTAGATATTAAACTGATTTTACTACCGATCTCAGGCATAGATGAAGACATTATGGTCTAATGAAATGATGGAAACTTCGCGATTCAAGCGATCACTACCACATCACAGAACAAAATGACACAGCCACAAGCCAGGAGAAGACAGACAAGGAAGAAATGGCGGCTTGCTTTTTGCATGGTTGGTTGGATTAACTGTAAATGTGTAGCCAACACAACAAAACCATATACTTTAAGTTTTCAAATTTATGTAGTATAGCAGTGTAGAATGTAAAAATAATTGAAGAACTTGAAATAATTAAATATAATCTTTTACCATAGACTAATGCTTTTACTTTAGCAAGGAAAGTAAGTATATATGAAAATTAAGAGATATATTACTACTGGCATTGAATACTAAATAGGCTACTATCGTCAAAGCTTCTGGCCAATTCAATAGTCACATTTCCTGAAAGCGTAGATAAAACATACGGTAAAAGGCCAATAATACACCCTCAAACCATTAAATAACATGAATTTTAATTCGTCATGAGGTACCCTAAACATTTTTGATGTGCGATTATTGATTGTTGTGTTGGTTGTTGATATCTTAATTGAACTGTTGTCAGTTCTACCATGGATTAAACATACGACCTTTTGTTTTAGAGACCGAAGTTGGCAGTTAGTCGTTCAACTTGTTATGGGTTTGGCTCCCCAAGTCCAACCCAAGTCCCAACCCCAAACCTACTCGAACTCATGGGCACAAACCCACTCTAAGCTTGGAATGATGGATACATTCCATACATTCCTGAGGAAAATGGAAAGATACGGGATAAAGAATGTTGCATTAAAAACTTTTCATGACTATTTGAGAGACAGAAAGCAAGTGGTATCTATAAGGGGAGCTCTCTCCAGTGACCTGAATGTCAGCTTAGGGGTCCCCCAGGGTTCTATCCTGGGGCCTGTTCTCTTCCTGATTTTTATCAACGACCTGGGGACTGACGGGAGAACCCTGTTCTTTGCGGATGACACCACCCTCATCACGAGCAATAGTCAATTGGACCAACTAAAACTCGAAGCAGCTGAAATTCTGGACGAGGCAAAAGCCTGGTTTTCATCAAACAAACTCAAAATAAACAATGATAAAACCCAAGAACTTATATGCAGTTTAAAACCCCAAACTCTCCAACAACAACCTGTCAAACTACTAGGTTTTTGGCTGGATAGTAGGTTGACATGGGACAAACATATAAATGAGTTGGAAAGCAGGCTTTACAGAACTGTTTTCCTCTTAAGAAAATTAAAAAATCTGGTCACAGATACATATTTAAAGCTGGCCTATTATGGCCTCTTCCACAGCTTGATGAGCTATGGTGTCATTGTCTGGGGACACGCTTCAGAGACCAAGAACATTCTGATAGTTCAAAAGGCTGCCATAAGAGCCATAACATCCAGCGAAAGACATGAACACTGTAGGCCACTTTTCCGAGCCTTAGGAGTAATGACTATATACAGCCAATTCATCTATAGCTGTCTGGTGCAGATCAAGGAAAATATAGATAACCTCAGCTGCAGAAACCAGCTACATCGTTACAATACGAGAAAAGGAGAAGACCTAAACGTTCCTTTCTGCAGGCTCAGTAAACAAAAAGACTGTTATCCGGTCCTTGGCATCAGACTCTATAACCACCTGCACCAAGACATAAAGTCACTCCCTCTTAAGAGTTTTAAAAAGAGAGTGGAGGAACTACTCAAGGCGCGGCCCCTGTACTCCATGAAGGAATATTTCACAGAGGAAAATGGTGAATGGGCCTCGTAATCTACAGCCATGTTAACCACATAAATTAAAAAGTACTAAAACTAAAATGTTTAAAATGTTTTTTCTTTGACGAAATCTATCCAGTCACTACTGGTCATCGATGGATACATGGTATAAAGGTATAAAGGTATAAAGGTACAAAACGGTAGATTAAGCAGGCTCATTATGGACTTGTTCGGGATTTGGGGGCCCTAGCCCAATTTTAGTAGACTCGCATTGTACTTGGCTTAGACTCATATTGGAATTGGTTTTAGCACATGTGTGTGGAAACACTGAGTCACTGTGATTCACTGACGTAGCTTTGTATTTATGCGTTTTCTATACCGTACCCATTTTCGGTACGGAAAAGAACCGTGCTTCTGGCAGAGCAATGGATATTTGCTCTGACGTGGATCCGATGGGCAATCCGGTGTAAACGGAACCTGGGCCTGCCTAGCGTGCTAGACGGATCACAAGCCTCGGCACCAGGGATGCATTGCACGGTGGTGTGACAACAGGACTGAATTTGACCTGGTCCGTTCTGGGTCCGCAGGCGCAGCCATGCGGATAATTTCCGGGGTTGCGACATTAGGACTGAGGGAGATCTCCCTCACCGCGTCGGTTTCTTCCCGTTCTCCCGCGGCCAGCACCCTTCTTCCTACCCTCACAGACACAGGCAAGAGAACTAATCACCTAATGGAGTCGTTCACTAGGTCGCTGAGAACGCCTCACCTCATGGAATCGTTCACCTAATTGCTGCGTCGTGTTTTTGAGAGAACTCGACAGTGCAGCATATTCTTTCCAGTTCAAAACTAAAATGTTTAATCCCTCTAACAGTTGTTATATCCATTAAATAATGAATAAAATATAGGCTCTATTATTTAGTAAGTTACATAATGTATAGTGAATGGAAAAACGAGGAGTAAATTAAAAAAACTGTTTAGTTGCTAGTTTAGTACACTGTCTTAAATATTTAAAAAAAAAATGGCTATTATTTTCCGAATTCGTTTAGCTCTTCTACCCGACCGATTTTCATGATTGAGGTCTCAAATTGAAGGTATGCACGCACAGATTTGCCATCAAGCATTGGCATATAATTATCTATAGTCTCACTCGGTCTATACGTAAACGAAATTTGCTCTCCATGTATTTCTTATAGGAGTAAAATTTGGGTTCTCTTTGCCGAGTTCTAGCTCTTCTTCCCGACCGATTTTCATGATTGAGGTATCAAACTGAAGAAATGCACGCACAGATTTTCCATCAAGCATCGGCATATAATTATCTATTATCCCACTCGGCCTACACGTAAACAAAATTGCTTCCCTTATATTTTTTATGGGAGTTAATTTAGGGTTTTCTTTTCCGAGTTCGTTTGGCTCTTCTACACGACCGATTTTCATGATTGAGGTCTCAAAATGAAGGCATGCTCGCCAATAATTGACAAATATTTACCTACTGTATTACTCGACAAAAAACATAATTTGATATATTTTTGAGTTCTTACTACAATTTATGATGTATTTCACGAGTTACTATACAATCCTATATATTTTAGTCTAAGAACCTCCAGTGAAATACCGCCTTTCATTTAAGCTATTATTTATTCAAATCGGACGAGTTTAAAGCAAACGTAAGGTGAACAACCAACAGAAATATTATTTTCCAAAAGGGTTTTCTATGATTAAAATCAATAGCTCCAGTATTGTGCATGTTTTTGTACATGTTTAAAACTAAAAAATATTAGTAAATTATAGGCTTTAATTTGAGCTATTGATCGTTTGAATCAGTTACGCTCAAGATACTGTGTTACTCAATCAAAAATCATAAATTTGATTATATCTCGGATATTATATCTATCTTAACGCTGCGGAGCAGCATGGGTCCTCTAGTTTACTATTATTTATAAAATCGTTACTTGCATTAAAACCAGCTCAGTTTGAACAAACAAATACATTTAAATAGGGTATACAGTTTACCCAAAGACACTTTAAACTTTCACTTAACACTTTTTAGCCGGGGTATTTTGCATGTAGACCTAATGTGAATTTAGGCTTTTCATATTAGTAAATTTATGAAAATTTAATGTTCGTCATGGGCAATATATACGTTTAAAAATAGTTAAAGATATGAAAGTAAAACCTAAAATTAAACTAAAGTAATTATTAGGTTGTTAGTTAATTTTGTAGTACAGTGTTAAATTGTACTACTGTATTGATATAAGGAGTAAAGGTGTTGTTGACGTTAAGTCGTATTAACTGGGTTTATTTATTTAAATAATGCCAACTTTAAATATTTGGTACAACTTTCAAGCATAGAACTCACTACTGTGGACATACACCAACAACGCTCTGATTTTCGTTTCAGTACAGTGTGGTATTGTTAGTTTGTGGAACGCATCTCACGAACTCCCTGGATTGCGGCAAATGCAGCTCTTAGAATTAAAATTTGATGTCATAGGGTTTGTTGTGGACGGATACTGATCTGTTATTTTCTGTGAACATATTTCAGAAAGTTCATTGGCATTGGTGTTGTAGTACATAAATTATTTCTCAGTAATCCATTACATACGACCTAATAGCTGGAAGGTCCAGATTACAGAACATTGGGAACTATGAACAGAGGAAAGGGAATGTGTGACCCTTCCTGGAATTCCTAGCTCGACGCAGACGTTTCTCTTTGTTAACTATGCATCAGGTGAACGGGATGTTGGTAAATAATAGAAAATCTCAATAACTAACGGTACCAAATGTTGTCATGGTGAAGAGTTGTTTAAGGAATAAAACATTTCTTTACTGACACTAATATATTTCAATCCTCCAGCAGTGCTTGCTAAACAGAGGATGAGGATACTGTCCATCACATTGCTAGAACTTAAGTAAAAAAATATTTATACTACTTGAATTTACATGCTACATCAGTGACACACTTTTGATTGTCATTTATATATTTAGATAAAAAGATACATTTATGATATTATACGTTCCAAACAAATTAAAATATTGTAATTTTAAATTTCATGTAGTTTCCTGCTTCAACGCGAGGTCCGATATAAATTGTCGTTTTCATTCGTTTATGGTTTTCAATTTCGATAACTTGAGTGGAGTGATTGATTACATCATCTTTGAGTTGACTCTTTCAAGTAATCAGAAATTATTACTGTTATTCATTTTGAAATAATGCCTGAAATACTTTGCAATGCTCGAATACGAGCAACAGAAGCACTAGTTTAAAATAATAGTTGTTAGCGCTGCAACGCGCACCCGTAGAGTATTATAGGCCTACATCGATGCGCGCACCGGGTAACTGCTAGTAATACATAAATATTTAAACAAAAACTGTATGGATCATAAACATAAATAAATGGTGTCGCT